ATGCCACTGCATGCTGAAGCAGCTGGCTGCTGGGAGGCTCTGCCCAGCACACAGATGCTCCCAGCAGCCCAGCGCTGCTCATTCTGCTTCTTTACAAAAACACTCCTCGGCATGCAGGCTACTGGGCTTCGCCTGCTGAGCCCAAGTTATCAAATGAATGACTCAGCCAATGAAAAGAAAGAAAAATAAATAAATCCATGTTTGGCAGGCCGGGTGGCCGGAGTGAGCACACAGCCATGCTGTGCTGGGTGGCAAGGACCAGGCCTGGATCTCCTCTCATCTGCAGAAGCTGCACACATGCCCATCCTAGGATGGTTTGAAGTACTGTTCCACTCCCAAAAACCAGTCTTAACCTAACCTAACTCTTAACCTAAATACAATCAAGCATTTCTTCCAGACTCAGCTTTTGCTTTTCAGCTTTATTTCTAATAGGAGAAGCCATTCTCATCAGTAACCCTCTTTGCAATAAGACTGTGTCTGTATTTTACAAGTTCTGTAATTTCACAAGTGACACACCAACTTTCATGTGACTCAGACTTTCTCTTGCACTGAACTCTCCATGTGTGACACCGCATTCTTGTTTCCCTTTCCTTGCTCCTCCCCACAGATAACTGCTCCACTGTACTTAATGAAGATGTTTGTTCTGCATAAGCAAAAAAAAAGGCCTTTTCCTCAATTTCCGTTTTTAAAATCTGTTCTGCCCCAGATAAACATCAGTGCACAGTCATTTGACTATACTTAAAGTGGGGAAGTTCCTCTTTCTGTCCAAAACTACTGTCACACTCACAATGAGACCAGGAGGTTAACCAAACACAATTTTTCCTTACAACTTGCTTTCAGCAGACTTCTCCGACCTCCATTGCCCTGTCCCACTTTCTCCAAGAGAAGACCCTGGCAGCCTTCCACCATCCCCACTCAGACATGGTGTGCAGCTCCTGCCTTCTGATTGCCGCTGCGCTCGCCTGTGCCAGCTGCAGAGCCACCCGCATGGTGGATGCAACCTGCTCTGAGGTGAGTGCCAGTCACTGGTCTCTGCCAGGACAGAGACTGTGTGTTGGTGGCAGGATCTGATTGGAGCTCATCTGCTGGGACCCAAGAGCTTCCAGCCACTATGAGGTTTCCTTGGGTCTGGAGGCTTCTGTCAGAGCTGTAAGTGGACGCTGGGACATGTGCCTGGTGGCACTTGCTTCCTATCCTCCTCCTCCTTGCAGCCATGCTGCAGCATCATTTTAGGTCTCCCAAGAAGTATTGGATGACACAGTGCTCAAGGGGATCTTCAGCAGACAGCAGAGCCAGAATGAGGGTGGGTTCAAGACCGTGTCTCCTGTACTGTGCTCTCCAGCCAGCGAGCAGTTGGTGTGCAGGGTGAGAGAGATGCCTCTGCGTACTGCTCAGAAGTACTGTGTCCCAGGAGGACAGTGAGAAAGCACAGAGTTTTCCCAGAGCTAAGTCAAAGGCTGGTCTTTAAATCTTTTTCTTCGTATTTTTTAAAGTGGGAGATGGGTGGGGGAAGGCAAAGATTTTGGTTCAGGTAGACAGTGCCATGGGCAACAGCACTTTTCCCTCACAGATGCGGTCAGAAGCAAATCCCTTACTGAAGTTTTCACACAGGTGCATGAGTGGCATGGTGGGATGCCACAGGGGCAGCTGCTCCCTGGCTCCCCTGGCCCTGCTGTCTGCTCTGCAGCATGGGCAGGGAGCAAGCTCACTGCATTATGGTGGAACACAGGCACTGCTCGTCTCTGTAGCAACAGCGAGGTGTTCTTCATGTCTCTAAACCGTATGTTGCAGTGGGCAGCTCCATGCGTCACCTGCTGCTATGGAAAGTGCCATGTTTTCCACGTTTATATTTTGCTGTTTCCATAGATACCAGCACTGCTTGGGTATGTCTTTCACCTCCATCTCCACTCACATATGAGGCCCCAGGCAGGCCGCAGGGCTTCGAGGGGTGGTAGAGGCATGGCCAGCATCACTCTGCTGCTCCAACCTCCTCTCCCGGCCAGCTTCCCCCAGTGCTCCCTGCCTCCCCTAAGGAACAGGTGTTACAGAGTCACAGTATCAGAGGATTTTAAGGGTTGGAGGGGAACTCTGGAGATCATCTATTGCAAATCCCTGCTAAATCAGGTTCCCTACAGTAGCTTGCACAGGAAGGCATCCAGGTGGGTCTTGAATATTTCCACAGAAGGAGACTCCACAACCTCTCTGGGCAGCCTGTTCCAGTGCTCCATCTCTCTGACAGTGTCAAAGGTGTTCCTTGTGTTGGCTGCACCAAGAAGGGAGGAAGAAACCATTCTCCCTACACATCCTGTGACTGTCATGAACATCATTTGGGATTCCATTTGGGATGGAATGCAGAATACACTCCCATTGATTCAGATAGAGACAGTTAGAGAGCTCCTCCTCCATCTGGACTGTCACAAGTCCATGGCACTAGACAGGCTCCACTAGTGTGCTAAGAGAGGTGTCAAGCTGCTTTCCACCATCTGTCAGTGTTCCTGGTTATTTGGAGAGATCCCAGAGGATTGGAGGCTTGCTGATGTGACTCCCATCTACAAGAAGGGCTATATGGATAATTCAGGGAGCTACAGGCCCGTCAACCTGACCTCGGTACCAGGGAATGTTGTGGAGCAAACCATTTTGGGTGAGATCACACGGCAAACACATGGATTCCAGGGGATCAGATCCAGCCAGCACCAGTTCATGAAAGGCAGGTCGTGCTTGACCAACCTCATCTCTATGCCTGAGTGACCAGACTGGTAGGTGAGGGAAAGGCTGTTGATGTAGCGTACCTAGACTTCAGCAAAGACTTCTACATGGTCTCTCACAGTATTCTCCTGTAAAAACTGGCTGCCTGTGGCCTGGACCAGTGTATTCTTCTCTGGGTAAAGAACTGGCTAGAGGGCTGTGCTCAGCAAGCAGTAAAGTCCAGCTGGTGACCTGTTACAATTGGTGTCCCCCAGGGGTTGTTATTGGGGCCCATTTGTTTGATATCTTTATTGATGACCTAGGTGAGGGGATTGAGTGTACCCTCAGTAAGTTTGCAGAAGACACCAAGTTGGGAGGTAGTGTCAATCTGCCTGAGGGTGAGGAAGCCCTTCAGAGGGATCTGGATAGGCTGAATTGCTGGACTGAGGTGAATGGGATGAGGTTCAACAAGGCCAAGTGCCGGGTCCTGCACTTTGCTCTACACTAGATTCTAAGCACAACAACCCCATGCAGTGCTATCAGCTTGGGGATGAGTGGCTGGATGACTGTGAAGAGGAAAGGGACCTGGGGGTGTTGGTTGATGCTCAGCTGAACATGAGCTGACAGTGTGCCCAGGTGGCCCAGAGGGCCAATGGCATCCTGGCCTGCATTAGAAATAGTGTGGCCAGCAGGAGCAGGGAGGTGATCATCCCCCTGTACTCAGCGCTGGTGAGGCTGCACCTCAAATACTGTATCTAGTTTGGGGCCCCTTACTACTACAGAGACAACGAGGCTCTGGAGCGTGTCCAGAGAAGGGCAACGAAACTGGTGAGGGGTCTGGAGCACAAGTCCTATGAGGAGTGGCGGAGGGAGCTGGGATTGTTTAGTCTGGAGAAGAGGAGGCTCAGGGGAGACCTCATTGCACTCCACAACTTCCTGAAGAGAGGTTGTGGTGAGGATGGGGTTGGCCTTTTCTCCCAGGCAACAAATAGGATCAAAGGAAACGGCCACAAGTTTTGCCAGGGGAGATTTAAATTAGACATAAGGAAAAACTTCTTCTCTCAGAGAGTGGTCAGACACTGGAATGGCAGCCCAAGGAGGTGGTGGAGTCACCGTCCTTGGATTAGAGGCTTGTGGTAGTAATGCTAATAGGAAGATGGTTGGACTGAGTGATCTTGAAGTTCTTAACAACCTCGTGATTCTATGATTCTATGATTCATTCTCCCTGCTCCAGCCTTCACCATCTCTTCAGTTTCCAGGCCACAGAGACATGACTTGGCCACCACACACCCTTCCCAGAGCACCAGCAGAGCCTCATTGTGCTGCCACGTCCACGGGGCACACACCTGTCATTTCCTCCTCCTCCCTGACAGGCTGCATGTACAGCACTGCATGCTCCTGTAAGGCTCTCTGCATGCTGCTGGTGACAGCCTGACAGCTTGTGGGGAGAACATGGTGACACAAGGCTGCCCTTAGCTGGGAGGTGCGGGCATGAATGACTCTGTGACCCTGCTCCTGTTCTGCAGCCCCACTGGGCATGGCCAGAACCAGCAGTACCCCTTGGAGGTTACCCCTAAGACCAGTCTTGGACAACAGGGTGGGGTCCTGCAGTAGTCCCTGCTCCAGCCGCTCACTCTCAGGTGGGCAGCAGGCAAAGGCAGGCTGGCCCTGTTTAATGAGCTTCCCTATTGTTCACAGGATGCCCTTTTCCACACATTTCATTTTTGCTTAAACTGAAAAGCCCTGATAGGAATTTTAAAGGCTTGACCTGTCAGGTATGATTTCTGTCTAGCTCTTCCCTTGCATAACCACAGCTGGAATCAAGATAATTTGGACCTGTTCCTTCTGGAAACATTCCTGGAGTCTGCTCTTTTTTAGTTTCTCCCTGCAAGATTTCCTGTAAGACTTCTCCAAGAGTAACCTTTGTTAGAAATACAGAATTTTAAACTATTTGTGGGAATCCTTTCTTAGAGATTAATGTATTGAGAACAGTAAACATTTCTCAAATGTGTTAATTATGGTAAGAAAATACTACAGATGAGACACTTTGAATTAGCACAAGATACGAGGTGCTCCTTTTGAAAGCCCACTCCACAGAATACTAGGTCTTGTGTATTTCAAGCCTGTGCTGGTATTTTACAGGGTTCTAGCTGCCACATTTTAGAATTTATATTTATTTTTTAAAGTGCAGTAGTTTCCTGTTTATACCTCTTGGATTTCCACTGTATTGTTCTCCTCAGATTACAACGAATAAAAGCTATAGCTGTGAAGGTTTAGGACTAAGGGAGATTCCTGGAAGTCTACCTGTCACAACAGAAATCCTTGACTTCAGCTTCAACATGCTCCCATCCCTCCAGAATTCAACCTTCTCTGGGCTGGAGTCTCTTCTCTACTTGGACCTGACGAGGTATGGGAGAGCATTCTCACTTTTGCACATCACCTTGGTCAGCCCTTCCTCCCCCACTCTTCCCCTTAGCTGGCAGCTTCTGGAGCACGTCAACAGCAGCTCCCCTGCCTTCACAGGGAAGCTACCAGCTGCACTTACAGATGACTGCTGAGTTATTTTGCTAAGCAGGTTGATCTCCTTGAGCAACATCCAGGCTTCTCCTCCAGTAACAGTCATCTGCTGGGCAGTGGTGAAATGTGTATTTTCCATATATACTGTTGCAATACCAGTAAAGTCATGAGAACAGGTGTTTTTTTGTTTTGTTTTGTTATTTTTGTTGTCGCTGTTGTTGCTTTTGTGTGTGTGCGTACTTTTTCTAAAAATTCTTCCCTAAAGCCCAGGGAAAGACAAGTTTGGTCCTTGTAAGTGCCCAACATTTTCTATCAAAAAGAGATATTCATTTGCAGATTCCTACTTAGGTCACTACACTTAAATGTGAGCTTAGAAATACCAGGCAAGCATCACTGAAAAGGAAGGACACTGTATCCCACTGAAGACAATTGGTCATGACTCTATACATACATGATATGCAGCCTGGGATATCACTTGTTATGTGAGGGCTTTACAGTACAGCCGGTGATGCTGGTTTCTATTGCCCTTTCAAGGTGTCAGATCAACTGGGTGTATGAAGATGCCTTCCACAACAACAGGCGGTTGCAGACCATTGTGCTGACTGGAAATCTGCTCATGTTCCTATCTGACACAGCGTTTGCTGGTCCTCAGTCCCTGAGGGAACTTGTATTAACACAGACAGGAATAAGCACAATATCCTTTATTCCAATGACAAATCTGGACAGGTTGGACACCCTCATCTTGGGCAGCAACCACATCTCTTCATTGCAGCTCCCTCCCAATTTTCCAACTAAAAACCTCAAACATCTTGACTTTCAAATGAACCATATAAAAGTAATCACAGCAGAAGACGTCAGCATTTTGCAGAAGACCAGTAATATGACTCTTATACTTAAAGGCAATGACATTTTACACATTGAACCTGGAGCTCTCCAATCCCACTTTTACAGCTTGGACTTTGGGGGCTGTGCTGACATCCCTGGGGTTCTTGCAGGAATACAGAACTCCACTACTGAGATCCTTTGGCTGGGAACATTCAGTGATGTGGAGAAGAAGCCTGACATAACTCCAGGAGTTTTAGAAGGCCTCTGCAACATTTCTGTCAAGGATCTCTATCTGCAACTACAGCATTTTGAAAACCTAAATGCTGCCACGTTTCGCTGTCTGACGAGGCTCCGAAAGTTGGACCTAACCCACACCCACATCAGTGCTTTACCACCCGGAATCAGTGGGATGAGTTCACTCAGGGAGCTAGTGCTCAGCATCAACTCCTTCCAGCACCTCTGCAACATCAGCTCTGCCGCCTTCCCATCCCTCACCCATCTCGACGTCAAAGGGAACCTGCAGGCACTGCAGCTGGGCTCTGGCTGCTTGGAAGGTCTGGCAGAGCTTCGGTATCTTGATTTAAGTCACAGTCATGTTGAAAGCCTTGACTGCTGCAGCAAAGCACTAAATGGCTTGAGCAGCCTTCAGTACCTAAATTTGAGCCACAACACAAAGCTCCATATCCAAGATATGTTTTTCAAGGACGGTACAAGCCTGAAGTTGCTAGACATAGCTTTCACTCATCTTCACATTGCCACTTCACAGGGTCCCTTCCGGAATCTTCATCTCTTACAAGTCCTGAACCTTTCCTCTTCCTACATTAATACCAGCATTCAACATCTCTTTCAGGGCCTGGAAAATCTCATGCTCTTGGACCTTAGTCAAAACACTTTTGAGTCAGGGATCATGCTCGAGGACAAACTGTTTCAACAGCTATCCAACTTAGAGGTGCTAATTTTATCATCCTGTGAACTGACAGCAGTGAACCACCAAGCCTTCCACAGCCTTGGGAAGTTACGGCACGTTGATCTGAGCCACAATAAGTTCACTGCATTCAGTATAGGTGTATTTTCAAAACTCAAAAGCATCTACCTCAACTTTGCCTACAACAGGATCCGTATTGTACCACGTGACCAGCTAGAGTCCCTGCCTGGCCGCAGTGTAATCAATCTGAGTTACAACCCCCTGGAATGCACCTGTTCCAACATTGATTTCATCACCTGGTACAGGCAGCATCTGGATAAAATTGAAGACTCCAAAGGAACAACATGTTCTGAACCCAAATCACTAGCTGGGGCTCCGTTAGCTACAACCTCACTCTCATGTGGGATCAGCACTGCGGGAATCATTGCAGCTGTCCTAGTTGTTTTGTGCTGTGTTGCGATCTCTATTTGGGGTGCTCACTATTTCAAGCAAAATTATCAGCAAATCTGAGTTTATTGCGAGTACACAGTGCAAATAGTTGTACAGCAAGGGGATTAGGATGTAAGACAACTTATCGCTTTTGCTTGTGGCCTGTATTTCATGTAACCATCGTAACACTCTTTCTATTTTCATTATATTTTTTAGAAAAAGAATAAAGTGTCTTTTATGGGACCTGGAAAATAAACTGTGACCTGAGTTTTTAACATCAATTAACTTCTTTTAAAGATACTCCCCAGTTCATCTCCATGCTAGTATTGCTGTCACAGCCAATAGGGCTAATGCACCCATAGAAGGAAGATCCAAGAGCTGAATCACAAAGCATGGTTCTCTTGAAAATACCATCAAAAAGATATAAAAGAATCCACAGCACCCCCAACAAAACAACAACAGATCTCTCACCCTTCTCACTCCCAATCAAATGATCTTGAGGAACAGTGGTTTTTGTTGGCAGTACTGTATGTTGCTCAATTAAAACAAAAAACACAAATTTCTGTGGTGGACTGGAGCAACATTCATATAATCTCAAGATGACCCTGGCAGGGCAGAACTAATGTCCTGTATCACGCTTCTCTTTAAATTCTGATCGTAAAAGTATGTGTGTTTGGCCAAGCGGAAGCAGCTGCCACCTGCTCACTAAGCCTTTCTCATCACATTACCTTTAGCACTCCTTAGCTTTACTGTCCGTCCCATGGCAGTGCACAGGCACGGCCTGACGCCTGTCCCCAGGCAGAGCCATGCGTGGCCTCGCTCTGACCACAGCAGGCTCCAAATTGCATTTGGCCAGATGCTGCGGTCACCCGGAGAGGTGGAAGCTGAGCTCACTTTGAACATTTGCACTGGGAACAACAAACTCAGTTTCAGCTCCAGTCCCAAAAGCATTCCTCTGAAATCTTACACCCATCTTTCCATGGACACTTGCACGTTCTGGGCACCAGCAGGCCTCTCCTCACAGCTCTGTGTTGTTTACAGGCATTCCCCGCTACTGCTGACCTGCTGCCAGTGCATAGGCAGGCACTTCCTGAAAGACTGACCCAAACCAGGCTGCTGCCAGAGGACAATTCAGCCTCTACGGAGAGCCAGGCAGCCCAGGATTCAAGGCAGCTTTTCCTGTCTTCTGTAAATTGGACTGGTTAAACAAGTCAGCACCAGTAATTGCTCTGACAATCCAGCATGAATGCCAGTTGGGCTCTCCTCAGGTGAGGCCTACTGCTTCTGTTATTTCCCTCCTGCATTTCTGGGTTCAGGAAAGCAACAGACAAATAGTGGAGCAAATAGAGCATAATGTGATTCATAGCCTGGAATAGGTGCTAAAAAAACACTGCAACCATCAGGAATGGACTGCAGATCTGCAAATATCAGTGACTTAAAGAGAAAACTGCATGTTGAGCTGATATTCACTTTCTGATTATGTCATCAGCTGGAAAGAGGAAGAGAGGAGTTAAGCTTTGCCTGTTTCTGAAATACTACCCATCATGGGTTAGCCTCACTTCTGGACTTGTTAGTTAGAACTTGAAGCTGACTGGAAAGGCAAAACAGTGAATGTGTTCATGTGCAAGATGGGTGAGTAAACCCACTATTTTGGACTTCTGCAGGGCAGACTTTGGGCTGAGTAGGATGTTGGTTGGGGGAGTTCCTTGGGAGATAGTCTTGAGGGCAGAAGGTCCAGGAAGTCCAGAAAGGCTGGGTATTCCTGTGGAAGGATATCTTAAAGATGCAGGAGTAGGCCATCCCAATATGCTGTAAGATGAGCTGACAGAAAGACCAGCCTGGCTCAACAGGGAGCTACTAAGACTCGGGGTGAAAAAGAGTGTTACCACCTTGAAAGAAGAGGCAGACAACTTGGGAAGAGTACAAGGATATTGCTAGGTTATGCAGAGAGAAAATTAGGTGAAAGTAAACTACCTGACCACCACTGTAAAAGATTAAAAAAAAATGTTTTTACAAATACATTAACAGCAAAAGGAGGGCCAAAGAGAATCTCCATCCTTTATTGGATACAGAGGGGAACACTGCCATCAAAGGCGAGAAAAAGGCTGAAGTACTCCAAGTCTTCTTTGCTTATGTGCCTGCAGTGCACTGAGTTGGTCTCAGGAAAAAAAAAAAGACCATCCACTCACAAGGACAACAGGGAAGTGCCTGAAGTTACAGGAGTGAAAACAGCTCAAGAGATAATACCAACGAAACAGTATTTCATGCTGAATTTTTATTTCAATGTTATGCAACTGCATAAGTATAAATAATTGTGTTCAATATACAACAATTATGACATCCATAAGGAGTTTCTTAGAGAAAATAAGACTGCAAACACTTTATTGCACAGACCCTAACATTTTTTTTCTTTCTTTTTTTTTTTTTTTTGTTTTGTTTTCTCTCTCTCTCTTTTTTTTTTTTCTGGAAGCTGAGCAATCTACAGCAGGAAGTCTACAAAGGAGCACACCAAAACTACAATCACAAAAAGACTGACCCAAGCAGCACACAGGTAGAAGGATCTCTAACAGCTCACTGATAGGTAACACCAACAAACAGTACTACATAAACACAAGCTTATGCACTGTTACACTTCCAAAATGCAAACTCATTTGTCAGAAGTTATAATGAGCTATACAAAATATACATAAAGGTATACTGTAAACAAATAACTAGATGTGCTTTAAAGGAAACAAGAGGATAGTTTAAAAATGCAGAAGACTGTAAACTAGGAAATACCTCCCAGACAGAAATGTTATATCGAAGTGCATTAGCATTTGTTTGTATTAATTGCCAAAGCACAGGTGAACTGTAAATGTTGAGACCATTTTCTCTTCAAAGCTGCTCAAAATTACTACCCATTGCTAACTAGCTCCTCTGTGAATGCATAAAAGGCAGTACGAATATTCTGGTGCCTCATAAAAAAATCAGAAACTAGTTTGTGATTTCATCTTTCCATAGCAAGTCTGCTGTAATCCAACTTAACTAGTGTAATAAAGCATTTCCCAGGGGGAAATGAATTCTGCACACTGTCAGTTGTCACACAAACCTCTAAGTCAAGATTATACTGTGCTTTTAAGAACAAGTTTCTAGCTTTTGAGACAGAAAGACAATCCGTAAGCCTCAATGAAACAGCTAGGGGCCTAGCTCTAGTTTAGCTACATGAACAGAAATAAGCAAACCCCCACTCTGTTGATCCCAAACACTTAAAAACACGCATCAACAAGCATATTCTGTAGTGCTCTTGTACATGTTTCAAACTCTATCTTTCATCCTTCAAAACTGAATACCTCCACGCTAAAATGATCAAAATCTACATGTTCCACAGTATACAAAATTTAAATAAGGCTTAGCAAAAGTAAAAGGACAGTCACAGTCTAGCACCAAATAGCTCCAACAGGTTCCTTTGATACACAATGTTTCTTTTATAATTACATTTACTTTTTTTGCATATAAATAAAAAGATTATGTTATGAAATGTATGGAGCTACTCAATGCATTTAGAAATGAACATGAAACCAAGAATTACTTGCTAAAAAAGCAAGTTAAAGTCTACAACATAAGGCCCCAGCTATGTATTAAAATGTATCTGATATCCTAAATTTTTTTTTGACAATGGAACTGATTTTTTTTTTTCCTTCTTACCTTAATAGCCATAAAATAGAAAAAAAAAGCTACAGCTAATTATGCAGACCTATATGCTATGATAAAATGTATTCTCTAAATTAATTAAGAAAAACTAGGGATGAACACAATAGTCCTGGAAGTCATGTGCTTGTAACTTGTGCCTCAAACTGTAAGGGCCTGAATTTAAAACTAGCTCAAGGAAACAAAGAGAGGATTGCAGCAGAAACCAAGGACACAGTATGTGCTTCAGAGTCTCAGCCCTGTCTGAGGGTCGTGGAATACACTCTGAACAGACAAGACCAGAACTACCATTCCAACAGAGAACATGAGTCTTCCAGAGACTCTGTGATAGTCAAGCAGTCCTCCCTTCGCTTTAATCACACCCACTCTGTAAGACAGGCTTCGTGCCATTGGCAGATGCAGTTTAATCTTGTGTTAGATCTGACGAAGCAGGTAGCCAGATACTACTATCAAAATCTGATTACTAAAAATACATGTAAAAACTCACAATAAGTTACCATACTTATTTCTTCCTTGTATTTTTAACTCTAGCTAGGATTTTTTTTTTTAAAGTAAAAATGTAGCAGATTTTTACCCTCCTGTCAGACAACGCTTGTGCATGTCTGTGCCATGTCTCATTTTTAGTAATTTACTTTCATATATATGGCAAATAAATGGCAAAGCAACTATTTTTTAAAAAGGGGAGAGTAAACAATGCAATCAGCAGCAACATATATATGCTACATTCAATCCCCAAACACAATGCTAGGTATTTACAGAAGAAATTGTTTCTTCTACAGCTTCCAGCTGTAAATGTATATTTGTACAAATACTATATGGTAACAGTTTTACCGGTTACAATCGAGAAGGCATTTTGTAAGAAGTCCTTTCTCTATATATCCCCATCCTCTTCAGTGACATGAAAGCTTTGCCACATAAAGACACTACACAGTGCTGGTTTCAAGACAGTCAAAATATATTGTTTTTGTTTCTGTTAGTCTTGAATTTATATTTGCCAGGTATTACAGTCAACAGGATTTTTTGTGAGGACTGCTTCGTAAAGCTTCTTTCCCTCGACGCTGCCGGACTGAGTCTTTGTCATTAGAAAGTGCGTTTGGGCGATCAGGTGTGGTTACTGACCTAGTTAAATCTTTACCAACATTTTGTTTTCTTGAGGCAGACTGCTGAGCCTGAGCAGCATCTTTTCCCTTTACATCCACAGTGTTAACAGAAGACTTTTCTTGATTTCCAGGTTTCCCCCCAAGGTTTGAAGTAGAGTGGTGGGCTTCTACAACAGCAGCACTGTGCAAGGTTATCATTGACACACTTTTAGTGATTTCTGTCTTACTATTTCCTATGGAAGAAGCGTTTTTCTTACTTTGTTCCTTGTAGCTGAATGAAGGAAGCTCAGGTGAGCCTGCTTTAACTTTAACTTTAACTGAGGATGCATCACTCTTCGCCAAAGACAAAACAGATATTTCTTGTCTACATTCAGAGAAATTGGCTGAACAAGCCAGTGGCTTTCCTGGCACTGCAGCCACATGGTAAGAACTCTGCCCACTGGCAGCTGGCGTATGTTTTATTGCAATTTGTTTGCTTGCATCCTCAGGCTGTTTTTGATTAATTTGTCCTTTCCCTTTTGAATCTTGAGAGCATTTGCTAGTTGAGGTTGATTTTTCTGATCCTTTTGCTCTAACATCACAGTTTGTGAGGGTAGGCTCCATTTTCCCATTGTCATGTTGAACATAAAGTGCATCAGTGCATATTTTTCCTTCAGGTCTTCTATCTGGAGAGGTTGTCTGACTATTAGGGCTTCTGTCTGCCTGTTTGTTCAGCAAGAGACAGTCTTTCACAGTGGAAAACTTTGGAGACACAGTTTGTTTCTCACTGAAGTGAAACAGCTTTTGATCAGCAGAATCCCCAAAGCCTACTGGTTCTTGCTTTTGCATTTGCTTAGAAATCTCAGGGCCTGTTGGTCCCGAGTCAACAGTAGATGATTTGGGTTTCGTATCAGGAGTGATACTGCTCACTTGGACAGTGGATACATGCCCATGCTCCAAAATCACAGGTCTTTCAACTTTAATATGTTCACTGTTCATTTTTCTTAAAGAACCCGATACAAAAGAAGGGGAATCTGGCACATTTTTACCAGCATGTTTACCATCCTTCCGGGAGCTGGCAGACATCTGAACAACTGTTTCTTTTTCTTTTGTGTTTGGAGTGCATGGTTTCTGTGAAAATGTCTGTTTATCCAAGTGCTTAGACTTAGAGGAACTCATATCAGAGACGGGTCTGAGTTTATTAGTACTGCTTTCCACAAAAGTGGTAGAAGGCTTCATGTGATCTTGAATACCAGCGTGAACATCTACTGCACAGCTTCTGTTTACAGCATCTCTCACAGCAGCGGACACTGGAGCACTAGGTTGCTGCTGAGGAACTTGGCTGGACTGCTCTCTCTCAGTGGCTGGAAGCCTTGTGTCAGGGACCTGTTTCTGATCTTTCTTTCCCAAATCTTTGGTTTTATCCTTCTGCACAGAGGACACCAACGCAGTCTTCTCATTTTTAGAATCACATTCTACTGAGGGTTTGGATAGATGATTTTCACTTTTTGACTCTACAATAATTTTCTTAGACTCACTGAGAACTTTTTGCTTGGTTACGTCCCTTTCCACAAAACTGCTAGCAACAACAGCGTCTTCCTTGCTTAGCTGTTTTACCAAATCTCTGCCATCCTTAGGTTGTGTCTTTGGACCAGTTGCCTGCAATTTCCCTTGCATTTGAGGTGGAATGGCAAGATCAGCAGAATTTTTTTCACTGCCTTTGGAGTAGTTTGTTGTCAGGATATCTGAAACAGATACCTTCAAAGTAGACTCCCTGATCACCTCCACCTTTGCAGAGATAGGCTCACAATTTCTCTGGGCTGCTGGCTGTCTGCCAGGCAACTCCTTTTGTACTTGCTTCTCTTTGCCCAGAGATTTTTCAGGAGTGCTTTGGACAGTAGAAAGCTTAGAGTATGTGAGGGCACTTTTAACACTCTGACTTTGAGTAACACAGGACTTCACCTCCACTGAACTGTCCTGCTTTGAAGGAAAGCTGTCCTTCTTCTGAACAGGCTCAGTAATAGAAATGCTGACTTTAGCAGCTGGACTAGAAGCTTTTTTCTCTGCCACCACTTCTGCAGCCATAAGGATGACTGGTGGATTGGGAGAACTTTTGCTTGTTTGCAGAACCTGAGCCTCTGCTAGGTTAACTTTGCTTGTTTGCAGAACCTGAGCCTCTTGGAGGTTAACTTTGCTAGATTTTGAATGGCTTAACAGCTGCTCTTTCTGACAGGCCAGTTCTGCCTTTCCACCACTCCCCTGTGGCGCTGAAGGTTTAGGAGATCCCATATCACTGCTGGTGCTCTGTCCTTCTGGCAGTACACACAAAGGTAACTCAGTCTTCGAAGCCTGTGGTCCAGAAAGCAAAGCAATGTCTAGTGTGCCTTCTATTGGCTTCAAACAGGAAACAGACCTTCCATCAAGTTTATATTCAGATGGACTTTTTCTGACAGGTGACTCAGCAGAAATCACAGCTGATTTTTCCATACCCGTTTCTGTTCGACTATTCAATGTTTTGAGGGGAACAAAAGAAACTGAGCTCATCTGAGAAGCATGTGCATTGCTGATGAATGCTCTACTTTCAGCAACTGTAGTGGAGTCCTGCTGAATGCTTATGGGCCTGACTGCATTAAGTTGAAGGCTTTCATGAACATTCGATGTCAGTTTGGGTTTTAGCACTGGACAGACACTCTCATCTTTTTCTTCAAAAGACATTTTCTTCCTAAGATAATCAATATTTGCAAGTTTACCATCTAATCTTTCATATTTGACAAATTCTTTTGTTGGTACATTTTTATCTGTATTTTCTCCCTTTCCATTTAGCATCCTGTCAGAGGGCTGAGGTGGCATATCTTGCAGAGTACATGGAGGGGAAATTCTTTTGAACTCATAAGAAATATGACTGACTTCATTAAGTGGAGACCCATGACACAACATCTGTGTATCTAAAGCACTACAGTCATTTGATCTCAAGTTGGCATTTTTCTGAAGAGTGTCTTTGAGTATGCCTCCAGCTGGTTGGATCTCTAAAGCAACAATTTTTGTTTCAAATGGATTTGATCTTTCTAATACCTTTTGGAATGCTTTTTTGTCTCTTTCTTCCAATCTTATGGTATTGGGATTTTCTGGTTCACTGCTAGGTTCATGTATAGCAGCATTCACTTTTTCAGCAAAATCTTGTTTTTTCATAACTATCTTGACCTTCAGCTTTTCTCTGTCTAATTCATCAATGGATTCTTGTCTACCTAATTTTCGGGAGATGGGCCGCTTCAAGCAGCCCTGCTCTGCAGGTCTGACTCGTGTGAGTGATGGCACATCACATACATTCTCCTCCAAACTCTGAAGAGTTACTTCCCTTTGGGACAATTCTCTATTCACTTCTTCCTGAGTCACTTCAAGACTGTGTTTTCGTGAACATAAGTGTTTCTTATCACTAGCATAAGAGGGCGCAAGTTTCTCTTCTGACTGGACTCTCTTTAAGAGAGGAGATCGTGGTGGTTCTGCACTTTTTGGCCTAACAATATGTCTTACAATAGTTGGAGGGGAGTGCATCTTGCTAGGAAAAGACTGAGCTATTTTTGTATTCCCAATTGAATGCCCTAGCAATGGTGATGGAGATCGCTGAGGTGATGTGGGCTGTGGTGTTGGGGAAGGTGTTCTTGCCAGAGGAGACAGAGGAATGCTGCCAGCTGATTTGCGTCTTCCGGATCTGTATCTTTGCCCACTAAGCTTTGGGCCCAAGCCATGAAGAGTGCTGGGTCTTATATGTCCTGAACCAGCTGGAGAATTGGGAGCACTTGAACTAGGGGAGCTACTCTGAGAAGAATTAGTACCTACAAAAAGAACAAGCAAACAAAATAAACATAAGATTAGCAAGATTAACTGAATATTGCCCAACAGCAAAGAGATAAGCAGTGTGTGCACTGATTCTAAAAGAATACATGATGTCTGTTTCTATAGTGTTCCAAGATTCGGTGGATTGTGAGTGACTGAACTTCAAAAACTTCATTATTTCAGAATGCTGGTGTTTCTCCTTCCTCATGTCTTTCCTTTACTTCCTTTACATTCTTGCCTCCATCTATTTAAGAAGAACAGATGCTTTCTGGCACTTCAAAGCAATGATCAG